GCGATTAGCAGAAAATAAGTTCTTCCTCTATTTCAACCTCTATTATTTCCGGAAATTCAGTACTAAACACCATCGAACTGTTCAAAGAAAAACACGTTTTTATTGGAGAATTTTAAGATTTGCTGACTCATATTACGACTTAAACAATTCAGAGCCGAAGCGTCATAGCAGTTAGTTAAGCGGGCCTTCCACTGATTAATAGAGTCAAAACTGCTCTATTAAACAATGGAAGGCCCGCTTAACAAACTGCTATGAGACTTCGGCTCTGAATTTTTTCTGGCAAAAAACTGTTGGGCATAAAAAAATGTAACACTAATCTCATATGGTTGGAAAAATGCGCCTTAGCCTCTGAAATAGGGCAATTTTGGCAATATGAACCGAAAAGTTGCAAAGTTAATTTCAACATTTTCTGAGCCTCAATATTGTTGAAATTTTGCAGTCAGGGCTCAAAAAGGTTCGGGTCAAAAAAATAAATTCTCAAAACCGATTGTAGCTAAAAAATTTACATTTTCGTCTGAAATAGAGCAGTGTGTTCGTAGACCACTTGTAAATTTATTTGCTCAATTTTCTGAGTTTTAGTATTTTTTGTGATTTGCAGCTGGCACTTGAAAATTTTCGGTTTAAAAAAATCTAAACTCAAAACCCATAAGAACTGCAAAAATGTCTTTTACTTTGTAAAATAGGGCAGTTTTGACTCTTTCCACACAAAAATTATAACGTTGATTGCAAAGTTTGCGGAGTTTTGGCAATTATTTTAGTCTGCAACCCGCGCTGTTCAGGTTCCAATAATTTAAAAGTCAAAACCTATTACAGGCTGAAAAATATGCAATTTTCACGTCAAATAGAACATTTTTGACTCCATATGCAAAAAATTATAAAAAGTTTTGTAGTTTTTCGAAAACAGTTCGGCTTAAAAAAAATCTAAACTAAAAAGAGCTCGAAAAATGAGTTTTGCTTTGTTCGATAGAGCAGCGTAAACTATATTAGTAGATAAATTAAATGGTTGATTGCAGATTTTTTTATTTTAGGTATATTTTTCGAATTGTTAGTGAGCACTCGAGACGAGCGAAACGCCAGTAAAAATATTTTCCTCGCCCGGCCTAAAAGCCCGAAAAACTCAGCAGTTTCAGACTTTACTAGTTAAAATAAATTTCCTCTTCACACAAAAAAAATTAATAAAAATTCTGCTCAATATCTAAGAATATGGCATTCTCCGACTTTCTCAGCCGGTACCTGCCAGATAAAGCCCGACGAAATTAAATATACCAACCGATTTTCATGCATAAGCTCAGAGAATATGACGATAAAAAGCAGACGACAGAACAATTAATTCTAACACAACTCGCTTGAGCGCATACCAGCGCCGCTAGAAAACTGTTTCTTAGTTCGTGCTATTGTTTGGCTGTGACATAGCGCAGGTAATTTCGCTCCATCTCGCAACTTATGAGCTCTTTTGTACGTCGCGGTAATCACCCTTTCAGCTAAATTAGGAGAATTTAGGATACAAACCCTGGCAAAGTCCTAATGCACCGCTCTCAGCCTAAAAACGATAATTCCCCGTCGCGCAACTTTCGAATCGACGAAAACAAGCAACTTGAACGGCCTTATTATGGCACCGACAGCAATTGTTAAGCTTCCAAAAAGCCAGGGACAGATTAGAGTGAAAAAAAGTTGCCATGAGCAAAAACCGCCCGGCTCACCAATGAAACGAGGCTTTGGTAAAAGTCCTTAAAAGAAGCTAAGCTGGAAATGTTGATCTCTTTATAAAGCAGACAATTGAAATATTAAACATCCGTGCTTTTACGACTGCTTTTGGATAACCGGTAAAAGCTCTTCAGGATCGGCAAATGGATTTTGTTGTTTTGTTCGGAAGTAGTTTAACAGGCCTTAGGCCTTTGAGATTTCCTGGGCAGGGCTGCACGTGAACCGAACAAACACATAGAGCAAACAACATCGCTTGTTAACCTGGAGGAATTTCACATTAATAATCACAAAATTCCCATTTATTAGTATTTGTTTGATGTTTCACTACTCTGGAATGAGAGATTTGTTTCTTTTTTTGTTGAGGTTTCCAAATTGAATTTTGGATGCTTTTTTCTGCGCGATTCAAAGTCAACATTATTGAATCACAATCGCCTCCGAAAAATTCGATTTTTCGTGAGTAGAGGTCGATTTTTTCGAACAATTGCAAATCGCTCAAAATATAAGCAATTCGACTTCATTTTCATCAAAAAGGTGTGAATAATGCAACTTGATAAGTTATTGAAAAACACGCTGGCAGCTTTAGATCCGAAATGATATTATTGTCCCATTTTAAGCTTTTTTGTGCGGTCCCTTTCTTTAGACGACAATATCTTTCTAATTACGAGCCAAAATTCATTAGGGAGGTTTTTAAGGTCGAAAATAATTCAATGAGACCAAAAAACAAACTTTGATCAAAAATTTCAAAGGGGTAGAGGTCGATTTTTTCAAAAAATATCAAATATCTCAAAAAGCCTCGAAATCGACATCATTTAAGCGACGCAGCATAAGGGAAGCGACGAATCCAATAAGCTCATTGAAAAATACCCTGGAAGCTTTAGATCCGAAATAATCCATATTTTTGACCAATTTTAAGCCGGTTTTGTGCGGTCCTGTTCTTTAACCGACATTATCTGGCTTTTGAAGGACTCAAACACTGTCTTTATGCCCATTAGGAAGCTTGATTGATCGAAAACAATCCATTAAAGCCAAAAAACATATTTGGTAAAATTTGATTTTTAACAAACCCGTGTTGGTCATACGTCTGCAAATTATGAATGAAAATATTCTTGCAAATGTCTTAAGTGGTAGCGGTCGATTTTTTCACAAAATACCAAATCACTCAAAATGCCTTAAATTCGACATTATTTTCATCAAACGGAAGAGAGAAATGCAGGCAAGGCATCAAAAACACCCTGAGAGCTCCAGGCTCATTTCGAGCCTATTTTCAGAAGTTTTCGAACCATCGCGATCTTTAAACGAGGAAATTGTGGTCCCAAACGCTGTATACAAAAAATTTAACTAAAGAAAACATTCAGTTGCAAAAAACAGCATCAATTTTAAAAACAATCACTCACAGAGCATGGATGTAGCAATAGTGCCAAATAGTGTTGTTATTTTGTGAAAAAGTAGTGAATTTCAATGAAAAAACGTTCGTATTTCCCACAAAACTCCACTAAGAAAAGTTTAGCAAAGGGATTCTTTATAATGTGGTTAACGCGAGGGCCTAATCAACTAGAAAATAATCCTATGTTTACTCTCTTTCACCTACTGTTATTTTCATTAAATTTTAATATTTTTGCACTCATTGTTCATGTGACCTAAACTGGGGTTGAGTTTGGTCATAAACTAGGAATACTGAAACCGCTGTGTAATTTTCCAATAAAATCTGCTTCAAGAAATTACCTCGCAAGGTAAACGGAGGTATAAATCTGGAATAAAGCGAAAAATAACACTCTCACTCGGCGCTAGTTGTAATTTTAGCTCATCATTGCGCCAGTAAAGAGCGTTAATTTGGAAATCGCGTTATTTGGACTTCTGTGCTTGAACTTTTCATTATTTCTAAAGTAAACTGCTCTTGAAACTGGACTTGTTTTGCTAAAAAACTGGTTATTCTCTATTAATTGGTTCGATTGCCCCACAGAAGTGTGAAATGAATTTATTCGAATTGTTGCGATTTTAGTTTTTTTAAATTGTTGATAATAAATCCATTTGCCTGGGCGTTATTTTTTTATGCTGACAAGGCAAAGGTTTAATAGATTTTGGTAAATTAAAAAGAAAAAAGGAAGTGTAGATATCGAAGCATCCACACGGAGAATTAGAAAGCCGGAAACAAGATGCAAAAAAGTAAGCAACGGATAATATAAATGCAGACTCCGCAAAGAAAATGGACAGTGAGAGCGATAAACCGAAAGAAACCTAGAAACACAGAAAGACATAGCAAGATGATAGAAAAAGGGAAACAGATAAAAGTATTGAACGAAACTTTACAGCGGTTTATCAAAGTACCGAATGATTGCTGCTGCTGTTGGAAGAATAACGTTTGTCCATATGACTGAAGAAGAAACAAAGAATAAAATGTTTTATCAGTGGAAATTGTGGCAAGATAAAAAAATTTGAATGTTTAATTCGAGAAGACACAAACCAAATAAAATGAATTGAAGAAAAAGCAAGCAATGAACGATTTTCATCAAACTAGTGACTAAATCATGAAAAATTTTGAAGTTTTGTTAGAACAGACACAAGCTAAATAAAACGAAATTAACTAGTCAGCGGGAATATTTCTTGAAGCTTTAAGGGCACAATTGTGTTTTGGAACAACAGGAAGTCATTGCATATGCACTTGCCCTTAGCACAGTACAGATTAAGCCAATATTAGGATTCTGGCCATTGAAAACAATCGGAGTGGAGATCAAATGTCATCCTGTTTACCTATCCTGACCAATTCCAGGACCTCCAATTATACACGGGCTCCAATATGGTCGAAGACTCGCCCCTCAATGGCAGTGAGCACGTTTGCTCAGAGCACAATATTGCGACCTATTCGGTTTTATTATTTGCTTTCGTCCCGCATACAGGCGGACAGAACACATCTACACGTTTGTGGAGAATCTGCAAACATACTTGACACCGATTCTCTCATTATTATTTTGCCGAAAATTAGTGCGTGTTTCCATATTGAGCCGAATAAAATGGGGGGCGCGTCTTGGGATTTTGCGAAGATTAAACTTGCGCCCAACTACTCCTCCTGCGATAGTGCCGACTGTTTATAACAAAGCGAGACTCAAATTATTCTCACAAGTTTGAAGGTGCGCTCAAAGTTGTTAAACAAATATTGAAACTTTACTGTGGTAGTCTTGGTATCTGATTTGAAACATTGCGCTGGATTAAACAACTACGAAACCTTTCAATTTGAAGTTCCCAACCTGGATCTCAAGCTGAGAAATGTGTATTAGACAAAACCCACGAACTGAATTAAATTTAAAAACTTAAACTTCCAGCTTAAACCAACGTTCCAATATTCATCATTTCAATTTCATTCATCAATTCAATCATTGGTTTCTGACTGGTTCCTGAAGTTCGAACTGCAATGGAGTTACAGAGGCGCTGCAACACATTGATAACCCTGATTGAACGGGAAAACGCGGAGCTGGAGGAGAAGGAAAAGAATGAGAAAAAGAAGAAAGCGCCCAAGACCTCACAACTTCCTGGTCTTTTGGGGCATTCAGGCTTTGCATTTTTAACCGCAATATTTTCCAGGAACGCCCACCCAAATGGCGCCCAAGTCTGCCCAAAAACGAAACAATGAGAGCCCCGCATCGGTGGTGGAAAAAAAAAACCATGTTCATTCGCAATAACCACGTTGAGCGCGGCTGTAGAATTTAAATTTTCATATTTTTAACTCTAATTAATAAAGTACGATTTAAGATGATCTGTGGCATTTTATTATTTACGTCAGAAACCCGTACCTAACAGATTCCGCAGAAGCCTCAACACTCAATACCGCTTTAAATCGTTTTTACAATGGCTCGTAGTAATGTGCTTGGATTTCAATCAACTAAGGTCTCTTTGTCAGGATTTCTAGAGATTTTCCTTCTGAATAGGCATAAAACAGCCGTGAAGTC